TTTTTTTTTTTTTTTTTTTTTTTTTTTTTTTTTTTTTTTTTGCTGTTTGGTTTTTATGATCGACGTTGTGATATCAGAGCAACGACTCTGCAGCGAGTACAACTGGCAGCGATCAGGCTGCGGCCAGCACCACCACGACGAAGGCAACCACAGCTACAGCTACGTCGTCGACAGCCCCCGCGGCAGGCCGTCAGCCTCGCCCGTCATCCTCGGCAGCAAATGCCGCACCTTCGGTTGGAAGTCCGACTCAGGGGAAGTCAGCTGCAGCGAAGAAAGAAGAGGGCTTCACTGAACTCATGGCCTTCAGGTGCGTAGCTTCTTACTTGTTCATCTGAAGCAAGCTTAGGATTCGAACTCCTGTTCTATCGAACCCTCAGAGTCTCTCATTTCTCGCTGTTCTCTTACCCCCAACCCCCCCCCTCCACCCCCCGTCACTCCGCGTTCCTCCATCTCTCTTCGCCGGCTCCCCAATGAATCTAGCTCGCCTGCATTTGGCAAGGAAGGAGTCGAGAGTTCGAACCCTGCCCTGCATATTCTACATACTATGCATAATGGAGGAACTCTCGACTCCTTCGTTGCCTAATGCAGGGTTCGAACTCTCGACTCCTTCCTTGCCAAATGCAGGGTTCGAACTCTCGACTCCTTCCTTGCCAAATGCAGGGTTCGAACTCTCGACTCCTTCCTTGCCAAATGCAGGGTTCGAACTCTGGACTCCTTACTCCACGTGCGGAGCAAGTCAGAGACTTCTATGAGATGAAATGATAATAATTAATGATAAGAGTAATTGTTTGTCTCACAACCTCTCACTCTTGCTGCCGTGTGACTACTATTTGGGCTCCTCTGGGCCTGTCTCTTATACACATCTAGATGTGTATAAGAGACAGCACAACCTCTCACTCTTGCTGCCGTGTGACTACTATTTGGGCTCCTCTGGGCAAGCCCCCCCCCCTGTCTCTTATACACATCTAGATGTGTATAAGAGACAGGCGTGAAGACTGAAACAGGGATGCTGGCTCTTGTAGTAGAGGGGAGGAGGGGAAAGGAGGGTGGTGGATAGTGGGGGGTGGAGGGAAGCTTGGGTGGTAGTGCCCAGTAGGCTGTTTGTTAATTGCCAAGGCGTG